ACATGTGGAAAGATTTCACTGAGTCCTAGGAATATCATGAAATCCAACAGTAGGAAGTTCTGGAACGTTGGTGAAGGGTAGTAGCAGAAAAAAGGCATTCCCTCTCGATACTACTTTCCTTCTCTAAAAATAAAAGACATTAGCTTAAAAATATTTCTAATCCATTCGCCTGTTTACGTTGTAGAAAGACTGCGGCAAATTTGGAATGGACCCAAATCCAGCAACCGTGCGGAGAGTGGGCGGGGCGAGCGTAGTGGCGGACGGTGTCCAACCCATTCGTGTTCAGCTCACTACATTTGACTTTCATTATTTCAGTAACTTCTTCGGAATTTCAAAGACCATTAATTCTATGTAATTCAGATGGTTCGAGGATGTTTTTGTGACTGTTTCGGTCCAATGGTACGAGGTCGAGCTGCCAGTATCGACAAACCACTTGACCCAGAAGACGTCAAGAAATGTCTACAGAAATTTCGTGCTTATGAAGCACGGCAAGAGATTATGGTCAGTCTTTCTTAAGTATCTGGGTTATCGCCTAAGGTATTTCACACTCAAGTCTGAATTGCAGGTGTCAGAACAACAACGTCCACTGATACCAACCATCAGCAGTTCATGTGCAGCTCCATATGATAGCGCTGTACTACCGTCAGCTCCACCTATTGTACGTTTACTCTTTTTTTTNTTTTTTTTCAAAATATCACAAAGAAAATAGTTTTTTTCATTTTTTCCCATTCAGAATTTCTCCTATCGACCACCATCTCCACCACCATCTTATAGCTCTGTTACGGGCAGTGGTGTCGACCTATCCTCGTCTGCAGCACATTCACGACTCTAGTCTATACATCTTTCTGTAAGCTATCTGTTGTTCCGGACCTAAAGTCCTGTGAGGTTTTTCGTTGATTTTTGTCTCCTTTTTTGTCGAAAATCTCATGCCTACCTTCTTTTTGTGTTCATTTCATATGTGCCTATGATACGATTAGTGTGTAATATATTTCGGTGAGTTCGCCATACGATGATGAACTCGGTGACAATAGATTTCCTTCTAGAGCCCGGTCAAAGTGTGAAACCTCTCTCAGAGCTGAAATGACACATTTAAGATAGTCTTAGAGCTTCGTTTCTGGAAACCGTCAAGGAGGAGTCCCGATATGCTCTCCGCCGGCGGTGGCTCCTAGCTAGTTGTCTCGCCACGTGGCATTCCATTTGGGATACCAAGCCTCACGAGCCGGTTTTGCTTTTCCAGAAGCAGACAACCCAGGCGTGTAGTGGAAACGTAATAGTGTAGTTCAGAGGCCCAACTCCAAATTCTCTCTTACCCTTAAAATAAGTCTAAGTACAAAACTTCTGGATGGCCCTCACATCCCCTTTCTCACGACACAACCCGACAAAGAGAGATTAGACCAGGCTAGCTGACTCCTTCTGCATTCCAAGCCCACGAAATGAAGTGCGCACAGTAAAGCATATGTATCGACTTTCCGCGCAAATAATCGATACCCATATAATGCATGTGGATATCCTGAGCAAAGCGCCTGATATGGTAAATCCGATGGATAATAAGGATAAACGTCTCGTGAGGGAGGTACACACTTTGACCCCATATTATCCAAACATTTCTAGTATATTACAGATACCAAAAATCAGTTACCTTATCTAGATCGAATAGTTCTCTATACCCAGTTATTCAAGCAGAATTCAGTTTATCAGTCTGTAGCTTTCTTTGCATTCTGTTCTAGTCCTAAATTTTATGGGCCCATGGGCAAACTTCACCAATTGATCATGACCGTATATGATCTTCGATATCGCCTCAGCTGAGTGAATCTAGTCAAGTGTACATAGCAGATTGCATCATATTTTTTACTGTTCATTATTGTCAATGTTGTTTATGTATTTTGTTTATTGCGAATAAATCAATTATTGCGATGTAAAACAAGTTAACTGTAAGCAAAGTAGGCGATAAAATTGGAGTGTGCGAATTTATGCCTGAGTGGAGTGCCCGCTGACCGCACCCGCTGCGAGTTCAACTTCGGCCACCAGTGGAACTGCAGCACATCTGACCAGGTCAGAGGGGAGGGCGTACATAGGGAGCTGAATATTGGACAACTGAATGGAGAGCCAGAGTGTTGTCTTGAAACGACTTCAAGACAGCACAAGGCAAGTAGCAACCTAGTCTTTTCAATCATTCTAGGACTAGCTGCGGCTAGTTTCGTTGCCCACGTCCTTCTCCTGAAGCTTCGTTTGCCCCTGGATAGTGAACACCTGTGAATAATTGCGCAGTATACCGAGGTTGAGAACGTCGGACATCGCCCAGTACAAGCCAGATTTTGCATGAGTTCGTGATACAGTTATGCTGTAGGTCCTTGCTTGAACGCCTTGTAATGATGTGAACCATCCTCAAAACATCCTTTCTAATGTTGCTAGAAGCTTGTTAGTTGTGCCGTATATGTGACGTTTTTTTTGGTCGCTCGAGTCATTTCTATTACACCGTGGGATTCACCTGTATCACCTGCTGTTCCGATGATCATCGATTTCCTCGAGCGGGCGCAACATCTGCATTGTCCCTGTCGCGAGCGAGAGCGAGTCCATTGGATAGTTCTCGCTTGGGGGTTTAGAACGTGGCATTCCTTCCGTTCAGGAAATGTGTGAAGAAGCCTGAGCATTGCGCTGGGGGACGACTTCGGTTTCGTTTGACGTCCCGAGAGATTCCAGTCAGCAACAATCCTGTCTAACGGTCACTACAACACTGCATGACGTGCATGGCCCACCTGATATTCGGCCTTTGTGGCCTTTGTGTAAGCAACGGCATCCCTGATTACCGTTCGTTGTATGTGATCTTTGAAGTCCGGCTTCTCATCTTCACTTGTGTTAATAGGCGTTTGGGATGAAGCCGTTGATGTTGATCGTTTTCGTTTCTGTGATGCACCCACACATTCGACTTGTACTGAAAATCGTAGTTTTGATAGTATATGTTGCTTATGCACGTATTTGGGTTGGTCATTCTATGTGCAAGACAGTTCTACTTTCTTCCCAGACGAGTCTAGTACCACTCAACTCAATGAGGAATGGTTGGTTGACCTGGGCGAGTATAGGTCTNCACGTGTGTGATGGTTTGCAACTTGCCATTGCACAACTTCTACCTTGACCAGTATTTATCATGACTTAAACCGGTTGAAAGTATAAACAGAAAAGAATGATAGCTCTCAACCTTTCCATTCGTGACGGGTGAGTCTCAGTTGAGTTCGAAGCCGTACCTATGAGAACCGTGATACTTCAACTACTTTTCATTGCTTTCGTTGGTAGAGCCCAACAAAAAAAGGGTAGGTAACCAGTTAGTAGTGCTAACGCAGCACCTATGTCGTACATCGTCGGTTTCCTGTGGGAGGTTTTGCGAGAATTTCACCTTACCCACATTCTTTACAGGTTCGAAGGGTTATGTTGACCATGGTGCTTCGATATGGCAAGTGAGTGTCAACGTTACCATCAGGGAAGCATTATGTTTCTGTGAGTATTTGTTTAAATAATTTTTATGTTAATTTCAAATCAATACGCAGCTGTTTTGCTGCTAGGTAATTACTGCAATGGTCCCTCAGACTATCTACGGGCGCAGTTTTAGGTTTTGAATCTGAACCCGAAACGATGCTTTCTAAACGACTGGATGCCAGTTTGACTCCTACGCATGACCGGACTTTTTGTCCATCATTCAGCTTTCTTGTGATAACTAGCATTTGCATTGCGAGGTGTTGAGGGGAACGGTTGTTGAAAAAGCAAAATCAGACAAGATGATGGAGACTATTATATCATTAAGCAGCTCAGAACTGTTGGCCCTCACTCATAGACATTGCCGTTGACTCACTAGCTGAGTTAGGTTAGCTTTGGTAAAGATGATCTACTGTGGGTCAAGAGACGTCATCGAGGTCACTGCGCCAAAACAAGACCAGTGCATGTGGGTGGCCTCAGATGGTCCTAAAACGAACATCCCTCAACTCACTTGCATTCTCCCAACCATATAAATGTACTGGAATGTACTATACTTTTGGGAGACGTTTCTCCTCCTGGACTCTTTTTCACACAGTCCTAGCACATTTTTCATGACTGTATTCATGAGGAAAGGAAAATAGTCAAGTGAAAATCTCTGAAAAGCATGAGTTCAGTTTGCGAGCACTGATCGATTTCTCAAGGCACTCGAGTGTTGGCAAGATACCAGAGTATTGAGGGATTCTCGTGCTAGGACCATCTGAGGTCGCCCACATGCGCTGATTTTATTTTGGCGCAGTGACCTCGATGACGCCTCCTGACCCACAGTGAATCATCCTTACCAAAGCTAACCTTGCCTCAGCTAGTAGGCTTAGGGCAATGTGTATAAGGGGCTATAAGTAAGTTTCGATCTGCTTATTGATACGATAAACCCTATTATCTAGACCAAACCTGTTTTGTTTGTTTTGTTTTGTTTTTGAGATACTTCGCGTCCGATCGAAATGCCGTTCCTGTCATAGCGTCCTGACCCACCACACCCACGAGTGGGGTGAACTGGGGAATCGGAGCCGGAGCTGAATATGAACATCAGCTCCGATTATAGCTTTTAACTTTGATGACTCAAGGAAATTCAAGGAATTCATATAGTTTTTATTTAGCAGCAAGTACCGTATCGGCGTTCACTGTTCATCTCTTAGCCTTGGGTTACGATAATGAATTTCTATCGGCGTTGACAGTCCATAGACGAAATTTCACTTATAACAAACGTACGTCTTCATACACATACAAGGTAAAAAAGTTGCTTTTTCCTAAATTTCTGCAATTTACTTGGATGTCTCATCGTGCTCTCAAAATTATTTCGATTTCAGACACTTTTGACGTATGAATCTCATTCAGGACTGGCAAGTCATGACTGTTTTGCTAAGGTACTTCTGGCTCTGAGAGTTGCTCGGAACCATTGTGATAATCCTATCAAAAGAATCAATCGATTCGGAACTCCGCAGGAGGAGCTGCTGAAAAATGTGGTCAGGGACGCATGGAGGCGCATCTCCAACTGCTGGGTGTTGGTATTCTGTACGAGTTCTCACGGCTCTATGGTGGTGACTTCGTGGCAGCTACCTTAAACTCCCTGAAGGAATTCAAATCCTCCCTCTCCACAGTGCGCTTGCGCACGATCTTATTCAGCGAGCGCAGCGCATTCATTGGATGGAAGACCCATATCCTCAATCAACATATCAAAAAAGGTGGAGATGATGCCCATTACCCTAGCTCAAGACTATTTTGATACGTTACCAGGTTGCCCTGAAGTTCAGTCGGTTTTTGACATACTTCAAAGTTAACTGACTCCTACAAAAGAATCCTGCCAAGAATCTTAATTGTCGCGCCTTCGGGAGGGCTTGCAGTCTCTCCAGTTTGTAGCTTGCCGCCCTCGCGAAAAGTTGGCGTGGCATAAGTATGAACTCATCGTTTGGTATCCACTATGACTGATTAGAAAGTCTACCAAAACCTTCCCTACTCTAAGTGAGGAACCTCAAAGAAGGTAAAGGATTTCTGGGATAAGTGAACCTTGCATTCAGGAGTTGCCTTTTAAACTATAGGATACGATTAGTCGTAGCCGCACCTTTGAACGAACTAACTGAGCGTTTCTCTTGAATTTGACGTCCATTGCAGCTCTTGATTCATTGTGAGTAGACCGGGGTTCGGAAAAATTTGAAGAAACCCGTGGGTGGTATCACTAGAGAATAACTCCGTGGGAGGAGTTTGGAATTAGAGTTGTCCCGCGCTTGGCAGGTGGACAAATGACGGAGCAAGTCTTCCATGACTTCTTGACACATCCTGAATGGCCAATGTGGGCCTTTTCTCAGGAAACTGGGACAGACATTTTTCAGGGCCATATTGACTGTGCTCCTAGAGCGGATGCCGTGTTGATACGCTTCGAAAGTGCTCCAAATGATCCGTGGGCAGTCGACCATATTGAAGTTACTGTGAAGTTTTTGATGGAAATGCGTGGAAAAGACTGGTGAGTAGATCGATGGAATCGATATTTCAGTTATTTCGCATGTACTGTATACTTACTGTATACTACTGTATACTTCAGGCATATATGGTACTTCGAACATGATGTATTACGCCCTTGTTGGTCTTGGATGGATAGTAGAGCGGTATATCAGATTGGCCCTCGGAATGGTCTCCATATTGAACATAACTACAAATATTTTCCGAAATTGTATGAAAGAATTAGAGATTGGGTATGAGCATAGCTCCAGACTATTCACATGATTTTTCTCCCGTTGTTAAATAACAACGAATAATTTTCAACTGAAGATAAATAAAGAGTTTAGCTTGGAACTTCAGAAGTGTCTGATGGCATCACTGTTGCCCAATCTAGTGGAAGTACCCCTTAGATAAGGGACCGATGACTAGGTCCATGATTACTTCTTCCACAGAACGAGCGATAAATGCCCTCCAAAGGAATATACATTCGAGAGCCTTTCCTACGACCTCTATCAGGGGCACGCTTTCGGAAAGCTGCATCTCAAAGGGTGTATGTATGGGGGCAGATGGGTGAATTCCGACAGCGAGAGTCCCAAACAGTTTACCACTGAAGACGAAAGCAAGGGAGATAGCAAGGTTGTAAGAATCTGAGAGCCTTCTGTTTATAAGTGGATTTTGGACGAGTTTCTAGTGGCCAATACAAAATCGCACTCAGTGATATCATCTGATTTCCAGTTTTAGCATTCTACCACTCAAAGGCGGTTGTTCCCCTTGAGGATCATTTTCTGCTTTAGGTTATCCACCGTTGATACGAGAGGCTTCACAGACCTAGTGGCTCTCGCCTCCCTTGGCTACCGCCTCCTTCACATCCCACGCTACTACTCAAGTGTCAGTGTCAAGATCTCACTGTCGACACGAAAGACATTACAGACCCAATGGTTCTAGGTTATATGATCACGGGAATGACTACCGACGGCCCTCTTGTGAACTCGGGCGGTTGCTCAGAAAGTCAGAAAGTCGGGTCTCTACGTTCTCTCAGAATTTGGAAGTGTGCATCGGTTCACCTGGTCTTCGACCCTTTTATACCGGTCCAGAGTAGCAGAGGATGTTTGAAAAAAAACTGAATGGTTGTGTAGTAATGAACTAATTGTCAAGAGGTAAACATATTTCTGAAACTCTTTCAAATGAGTTCTTTATGGAAAACGGAAATTCAAAGGCTTACCTCTCTATAACAAAGGTAGCATGTTTGAGGTGCTCCTATGTAACATCGAATGTGCAAGCTGTCCACCGGTGAGGAAGCCAATTGGGGTAACTAAGGAGCATCCCAAATGGACCTCACCCTCACACCATGGATTTCTGTTTAGGAAAATGTATGAATGGAAAAAAAANAAAAAAAACGTAAGGATGTGAATCGTCTAACGAGTCCCTGGTTCATGGACCCATTTGAAGATTCCAATTCCCTCCTTAGCATTACACCCATCCAGAAGATATCGTCTCTGTTTAGAGGTCATTCAGAGTGTCAGGGTTTATCACGCTGTAGCCAAGATCACTGGATCAGACGGGTCTAGAACTGCTTCCATAGCCATAACTTCATCCGTGCAAGTGCATAAGGTAAGGCTGCAAATAGGAACCAGTTGGGTGAGATGAGTTGTGTTCCGCTAGCCCATCGTTGTACCGCTTAGTCCGTCCTATGAGGCTTTCATTTCCTTCACTTACTATCCACCTTTATAGTAGCTGAGACCCGTTGGAAACTGAGCGAGTGCTCGTGCTTTTGAGCGAATTCAATCGATACATATGTTTGTCGGAGGTAGATGTTGTATGCATACAGTGCGCTGAGCTGTCAAGGTGCTAAAAGAGCTTCACCTTCGTCATGATGACTGCTCATCTGTGTTGGTCGGGAAGTCTGTAGATGAGGTTAGTGATCCACCCATATCAAGTCCGAAATCAGGAATATAAAAGCGACCGCTTCTGGGAGTGATGCTCAGTCATCTCCGATGACGCTCCGGCTTCTCCTTCGATTGCTGGTCTGTAGCTGTTTACTGGTATCTGATGCTGATGGAAATCACACGCTCCACCTATCGGGAATCACTACAGTCCCTGGCCCTCCGGAGACGATTATCCGAGAAGACGAGAAGTCAGACGATACGCTCCCATCGAGGCCGCAGCCGCAGGAGTTTATGACTCAAGGAGGTCTGCTATCACTTTCAAGAGAGTTCCAACCAACTAAGTACATCCATGACAAATTTTGTAAGGTCCGGGGATGGAAGAAATTCACTGTTCCCGACTATTCAGGCGTCTTAGAACGTACAAAAGATTTAGGCCGTGAAACTGATGAAAACCCATCGGCGAACGCGACCTTTACGGACTCGGTCAACTCGGAGCCGAATGCTAAGGAAGAGACAAAGCAAGAAGGTATATTGTAGCAAGAAGGTATCATTTTTGGGATGCTTCTAACTGATAACCATGACTACTACAGTCCCTGAACCTTCGATGCCGCATATGCTGGCAGATGATGAACAAACACGTTTGCCAAGATCAGAACGGCACACTTGGAAAGAGGAGGAGGAAGACGGTGCGTTTCAATTTTCGGGATGGTTCCATCTAACTCAGTTGTTAAATGGGTACATAAGTGGTTCAGGGGGTATAAGGACTCTCAAAATGATGATAGCTGTCCAATAAAAACTTTTCGCTCTGTTGTTCAATAACCACGACTACCACAGACCCTCCATACTGGGAACAAGTTCCTTTGGATGAGGAGGAGCGGGAAGCGCTTTTATTGGAGCTGCACGCGAACGAGAAAGTGAAGCGGGAAGGTACGTCACCATTTGTGGGTTGGGTTTTCTGGGTCAGTTCTACATAGCTCGGTGGTACCAGGAATTCATTTATGAACATTGAAAATGAATAAGGGCTGTTTGCTACGACTAGCGTAACCTTTCGACTCATTCAGGAGCTCCACAAGACAAGGAAGCTCGAGGCAACGGAGATAATGAGAACGGTCTATTCCCATTTCGTCCATCGGTACCCATGGCTACTACAGTCCCTGGCCCTTCTGTTCTAACCGCTTGGGAAGAACGGGATCGAGAAGATATGCTCGCTTTAGAGCCGCATGTAGGAGTAAAGTTGAAACGAGATGGTACGTTACCTTCTCTGAGATGGTTCTACCTGAGAACTGATTTTAGGAGTGAATGAGGGCTCTATGTAACTACCAATTGGACTTGTTTTCATTCAGGTACCTTAGAACATGAGAAAGAAGACAACTCATCTGTATCATCTGTATCAAGCGAATTCACAGACTCTAATGATTCGGAGCATCCGGAGCATACCATAAGGCAAATGAAATCAAATGGTACTTTTCTTTTTGCTAAGATTGTTCGACAACAATTTGGTCGATTGCTGATATTACTAGGTTGAGTCTTGACTGGGAATTCTCTGAAACCCTCCATGCAGAGCCCGAGCTCATAGATGTGAACACTGCACCGAAGTATTCCATGACCCGTTCAACCGTAAAAATTGTTACCCTACCCAATGAGGATTCCAGATTGTGATCAATTGTTACACTACCCCTGCTTGATTTTGGTGAGCTACTTTTAGCATGATTCTGTGCAGCTTTTTGGTTGCATTGCTGGGTACTGGAACTGTAAGGGTTGGTGGGAGAGCTAATGTGCCAGGTGGTGCACTATCACGTGGTCTGAAGATCGAATACCGGCTCGGAATTTGCTCAGGAATTTCATCCCTATGGGGTCGGGTTACTGGCATAAGATCTTGCCGAGAAGGGTAAAGTCCTGGCTCGGCTCAGGGTAATTACTGTGGGACAACCATGCTTCTGAATGGCAATCCAACAATGCGATGTATTCCAAAGCGGGGCTAATCGATACCAAAGGCTTTCATTGTTTCTTACTAAGGGCTGTCGCCAATTCCCTGCTACCATAAGTGAAGGTATTTTATAAAATCAGCTATTCATGATACATCATTTAGATGATGAAGACGAGGACGAGAAGCACGATGTAACATTTGAAGAAGATTTAACAGGGGGTGAGTGGTGTTAAAAAGAAAGCAGCTTCTTATGATTGAACATAAACCCTGCACTTCAGTGGACCTTCTTTCAGTAATCTCCCAGTGGCAGAGATCAGTTCGATCTCAAGCCTTCAGCCAGCCTGAAAAAAATTCTCCCTCCTTTTCCCCGTGATTGTTCACCTCCAAGAAGGCTCAGTAGTCTAAGCGTAGGGCTCTAATCATCGTTATGAGTGCCCCACTCCATCGTAGATGTGCATCCAAGCTGGGCCAATCACATTTCACCCCCTCGATCGGTAAACTGCAATGGTACCTCCAGTTAGGGGCAGCTTTTTTGAACACCCATGAAAGATCACCGATCAAGGATCCGTTTAACATAGGGCCTTATTTAGGGGAAGGCAGTTTCAGAGCCCCATTGACCGCACATCCAAATGGTCTCGTAGCGAGAAACCCTCGTTATTTTTCCTGTTTGTGAGTACTCTAGCAGAAATCGTTTCCTACTGTCAGAAAAGCGTTCCCACAAATTTCATGGGCATTGGAAGGATCATCGCGACAATGACGATTACTACAGGGAGAATATCCATGTAGAAGTTCGAATACGAGAAGCGGAATGTTACTGTGAGTATAGTACTGGAGTATATCCGGACCATTCATTCATCTTAACTTTTCTTCAATTTTTTTCAGCATCTCATACCGAATCATCTTTCATCGTATTTCTGGTAGCATTGGACTTTTCCCATGTCTATCTTTCATCAGTACTTATAAAAAGCGAAAAATTTACCTTTGACAATGTCACAAATACTCACTCCTACAAAGTAGGTTGCTACTTTGTCGCTTGTTTATTTGTTTGTTTATGTTTTTCTATCTGCCCCTGGGCCGCGTCCTATGTAGGATAAGTAAGATGAACAGGATGATCAACATTCAAACGAAATCGTTGAGAATTTCCTTTCACAGATAATTCGCCCCTGGCCTAGAGGCTTAAGATTGAACCTCAACTTTTTGCTCAGGGAGTTTTCGGACTTCTCAAAGTAGATGCAACCTCTGTAAATAGAAACAGTTTTTTGAAAATGGAGGAATTAAAGTCAAAGATCGGATCAGTGTATCAGCAGTCCTCGATTCTTGCACAGCAAACACTAAAGTAGTACATTTAGGGTTATTTGGACCAGCAAAGAAACTTCCAGGAACTCGATGAATGCTTTCAAGAAGTGAGTTTGATGTCTTACTATTACCAAATTGCTTCTGAGCCTTCCCCTAAGGATGATAAGTGATTTGAGGGCCTAAGAATAGAAGAAACGTTGACTCGAGATCGGCAAAAAAGAATTCCTGTAAAACTTCATCCCACATAAGCATCAGCGCGGATCAATCATCGATTCCACTTCTGTCACCTCAAATCCAGATGAACTAACCTTTTCAGTATTGAAGTTATGATTCAAGAACAAGCTATTCGTGGTAGAGGATATTGACCTCTCACAAGCACCATTCAGTAGAGCTCGACGAGATGATCGGGAAAGTGCCGAGCATTGGGAAGCATACCTGATCGGGACAACCGGGTACGCTTCATTGCGCGCGTCCGTGAAAACTAGGTCAGCCGCAGCCGTCGCATGTGACCCGTAGGCCCGCGATCTTTGGCAAACGTTGCAGTTGTCTGTGGGATATAAGATTTGTGCTTGGTTTACAGCAATCAGCCAAACAGAAGATAACACGGACAAATGCAAATCGTTCGCTCCAATGACACCTGGTGGTACTGTAATGTCATGCCAAGACCTCATTTGGGGAGCGCCGCGCGCGGACTGGGCGGGGTAACCTACTTTCGACAGGCGCGCAACGGACGTTCTTCGGAACAAATATAAGCCTGTTGTTGGTTGAACAACTCGGGCAAGTAGGAGCATCTTTGAGGAATATGTATGTATCGCACGGGCAATGGTTGGACATGGCGTGACTGCCCTGCTTAGAACTTTAATCGTTCAGAATAAGGAATTCATAAACATGTGAGCGGTTTTAAGGGTAACATAGATTGTGTCCCGAGAGCTGATGCTGTGTTTATTCGTTTTGGAAGTGAACCAGATGATCCATGGGCCATTGATCAGATCGACGTTGACGTCAAATTCTATCTTGGATCAGAAGAAGATGACTGGTCAGCTCGAAAAGAACTCCAACAAGCTCTACTTACTGTATAACCGTTTTTGTTGTTCAGGTTTGAATGGCATTTTGAACATGCACTACTTCTTCCATGTAGTTCATGGCTGAATGAAAGGAATACGTACCAGATCGGTCCACGAGTTGGATTATTTTTGAAGCATCCTTATTATTATATGCCAAGAAGAAATCAAAGAGTTAGAGTTTGGGTATAAACAATTAATTGTCTCAATAAAGAAGACATTTATCATTGTTAACAAGAAGCTGCACTACAGAAGCCACGTGTGCTTCCAGTGGATTTAAATATTGAAAGAGCGTGGATTGCTACCCGTAAAAGTGGAATTCGACAATAATGAGACCTCGCATAGCGAAGAAGATTCTCAAAACCCAAGAATGAGCTTCACCTTTTCGCTATGGAACTTGTAAAGTTACGCATAAAAGCTTTAGGATTATGTGAAAAGAAATAGTGCTAGAAGGCAGGAAAGTACCGGGCAATAGTGTATATTAAGCGCCACAAATGTGCGTCGTTCTGTGGTGTACTGCAACGTTTAGAAGCTTGAGCACTAGCCGTTTCCCAATCAAAAAGCCAATTAATGGACAGAAGCTGTCTTTGGTATTTTCTAGCAGAGAATGAGGAGGATGGTTGTAGACTGCCAGCGCTTCATAGCGAAAAGGGCTATGGAGTAAAGTCCTAGTGCTTTTGGTGATGCGTTCCTCGCACAGGGTTCAGGGTGCACCGAGGTTCATCCCAAGTCACATTTCCAGCACTGATCCACCTCTCTGCTCTTCTTGAACCTGGTCGTCGCATTTGGCGCTGCTCGTTCACTGAGCATTTCTTCGCAGGACGAAAAATCGTAAAGGATGATATATCACAGGCATTAGGTAAGGGAAAGGACGATGGTTGTGCTGTCAAACGGGACAAGTCACTATTCAGGAGTTCTTTAGGTGTTCCGCTGCTGCGTTCTACTCTTACATTTGTTCGGCTCCTTAAGCCTTCCCTTCCTGTAAGTGGAACCGTTTTCCCAGCAAGAAGGAATACGCTCATGGAGAGAGGACAACTCCTGCGACTGCTTATGGAAAACTTCACGTGAAGGCCCTCTACATTTAGATTTTGCCAAATGTTTGAACATTACTGCGTTACAGTCGTTTTTACTTTTCTTGTTGTCAGGACAACTCGGAAAAAGGTATTGAATGCAATGCTGACGATTTATTATGGTGTGGCCGCTCGCGAACAGCTACACTGCGACTCCTGCTTTGGAAGGCTGGGCATTAGGAAGAACTGGCTTCCATCCTTAACCAGTAGAAGAGTCGTTGAATTTTGCGACTTGAGGCTGAGGATAACATGCGCCTTCAATTTCTGTTCGTATCAGGAGTACTCGGCGGCGAAAGTGGTGTAGCTGCAAGTGGCGCACTATCTCACACGCCCGGTTAGGAGTTCGAATCCCAAATCGATGCCCGCCTAGGCCAAACAAGCCTTCCATCC